GAGAGGATTAAGTCAAATGGATGTAAACCACTCAGAACAGTGCTTACAACATAGGAGATATTATAATATTCTGTCTGGTAATCCCAGTAGTAGTATTTGCAAGTAAAATGGTCTAAGAAAGAAATTACTTAGTGACTTAGTGGTAAGAAAGGTCAAATGTAAAATTTTTGTTATCAAAGTATAATTTAATTTTATATCAAAGTATAATTTAATTTGTCAACTGTAACAGAATAAATAGTATATTCTTCAATGCTTTCATATTTGACATTAAAATATATTACAGATACAATTGCTGATGGTTAGATATAAGATACTTTTAGATTTCTACTATCTATTTTTACTTTAGGCAGAATAAAAAAATAATCAACATAAGAAAATTTTATTAGAAACACAAAATTATGTATCTATAAAGAATAAAGGAAACACCCAGAAATTATGATTCATAAAGTTTTGTTTCTTTTTTAAATTCTGATGGTGATAGAATAAGCAAAGTCTACCTTGCCCATGAAAAATATAATTTTTAGATTGAAATTATCCATCTATATCATCTACATATTTTTTCTTCAGAATTTTTCTGTTAACTCATCTAACATATATGAATATAATATGTAAAATAAATATGTAAGCAGCAAAATAATTTCATAAAAATGTATATTTTCCAAACACTTGTGACATAATTTTAAAGAGAAATCAAACTTATTTCATTTAGAAACTATATGAACTCCAAACACTCACATTTATAAAATATTCAAAAGTAATGGGAAAAAAATGTTATGGTAATTTACATATCACATCTGTAATTTTTAGTTTTCCAGATTGCAGAGTACCTTTTCCCAGATGAGAATTCATTAAGAAGAGGAAAAACTGTCACTCATTGCTCAAATTAAATTACCTATTTGTTAAGAAGCTTCATGGAATATTATTTTTACTTCAAAATGGTATTGAGATAAGCATACGTTGCATTATATTTTAGTTCAGTTATAAGATTATTTCAAGTTAACATGATTTAATATTAGAAAAATGGAAACAAAAAAGTTGGAGGTTTAAGTCTATTGAAATACATAAAATTAAGTTATTGACTTTATGTTTCTCTAAAGTTCCCAAACAGTGCTAGGAAAACAAAGAAGGTTAGAGTGAATTAAGGTTAGAGTGAATCATTTTGTCTTATAATATAGATCTCTCAGTAAGGAGATGATTTAGTATAGTGCATTGCTTGTGCAATTGCAGGTAAATTTATTTCAGAAACTTACTTTTGAATAAGAAATAGAAATATCAAGTGACATGAGAGGTGGAGTTTTAAATTGCCAAATGGAACAGGAAGACTATTGTTAAACAACAACATTAAAGGAAGTAATTGTAAAATCTATTACCTTGTCCAGTAATAAAAATTAGAATGTTTACATTTTATTCAATATTTTTTTCATAAAATATTCAACGTATCTTTTATCAAAGTTACTCTGACAATAACTAAGAAAATGAGATGACTTACTTCTGAATCTTATTTTCTATTCTATTTTTGAATAGTGTTAATAGCTACCAAAAGCATTTTATTCCACTTGGAGACAAAACATTCTTTTTCTTGGCTTTTCTATGATTTTTCCATGTACTGAGGGCCTAAGACATCTGTATAAGAGGTTGAGCTTTTGGTACTGTGTATTACTAACCATATATAGTCAGGCACAGAAATGACAAATTAGAAAAAGCTGTGCAATTCTGAAAAGAAAGATGGCTCTCCTAAAGGCAATTTCTTGAAAGGTTTTAAGTAGAAACTTGTGGTTGAACATCAGCCCTTTCTCTGTTTCTCCATTAACTTTTCAGTGGAAATGAAATGTTATGGTAGCAAGCAAGACTATATTAATTTTTATGTTATTTTTTAAGCATGCCAAATTTATTTTTTTACTTAGAACAACATGACTTTATAAAACAAAACAAAGCATACACACATCATGTTAATTGTCATGAGCAGATCAAAAGAAAATAAACAGAGTTGATTTCCTAGAAGTTGAGAATAGAATGGTGGTTGCCAGAGGCTGGGAGAGGGACAGGGGCCCAAGGGGAGGTGGTGAGGGGGAGATGAAGAAATGTTGACCGACCCATGGGTACTAAGCTACAGTTTAATGAAATAGTGTGTCTATGGATAACAACAGTGCACTGTAAATTTTTAAAGAACTAGAAAGAATTTTAGAAGTTTTCACCATAAACAAATGATAAATGTTTGAGGTAATAAATATACTTAATTTAAATTAATAATAAAATAATGCATACATGTATCAGAACATTAGATAGTATAATTTCATGTTTTATCAATCTAAAATGAATTTGAAAATATGTTAAAAGAAGAAAACAGTAAAAGTACTCTAAGATGATATTTATATGAGGTTTAAATTTGGAAACAAGAAGCAAAATAATAATTTTTATTTATATAACACTTGTGTTTAACCTAATTATAACAAATACATTTAAATTTTTAGTCAATATTTGTCTCTTTTATTTAATAGTTTTCAGAACAAACAGAATATGCTATATTTCTACCAATATGAAAACACCCTCAATGACACATAAACACAGAAGGATGCAAACATTAGATAAAATATGATTTATGCTGACTTCAAGACAAATTAAGAACAAAGGAAGAGAAGCTACTTAAAATATGAGTTGTTTAAACCTCTTTATCTGTTATCTTCATGTGGCTTTAATATGCCATGGGTATTCCATAGCTATTTTGTATAACCCACTTACTATATTAAATGTAGCAAGATATTTCTGATCAAGAGAGAAAGAGCTGAAAGAATCCTAAGCACAATCTAGTAGTATTTGAAGGGTCTGGGTGTGGCATGAAATTTGGTTTTCATTGGAAAAATCTTGAGCTGAAAATAATCTGAAGGAACATTTTATATACAGTTGATGCAGAGGTTTTAAAACCATCCACTTTAAGAAAAGGAAACCAATACAAAGATGGAAGAATGTACTTTTAAATCTTTTATCTCAAAACTTTCAGATATTTTTTCTGCAAACCAATGGACTTAGTTCTTAAAGATGTCAGTTCTGCATAGAAAATAAATGAATAGAATGCCTAGCCCATCTTATGTTATCATTGTTCGTAAAATGAAAAAGATTATTGGGCTTCTTTTAAATGTTTTCCACAATATCATCCAATAGTCTTACTTTCCATCGTGGTAATAAGCATTTTGGCACTCAGCTTTTACAATCACTAAGAATAAAGAAATGTTTCTTTAAAAGCTTAGATACACCTTTCCCATGTTCTCATGTATCTGTTTTAAACATGGAGAAGGAATTGGAGTAACTTTTCTAAATAGATCCTTTCTTCCTATTTAAAATTTCAATAAAACCACCATGTTGTTTTTTCTTTTCTTTTCTTTCTTTTTTTTTTTTTTTTTCATTTATGAATTCTAGCCCACTCTGGGAAGTTGTAACACAAAATAAAAATAGGTTTTTAAACTTCTAGAATTGACCAAGAACTTTCCAGGTGTTTCACAACTGTGTATCTAACTGTGACTAACTTTGTTTCTGCACAAATGTGTGGAAATGAGAAATAGAAGCAATTTCATACTCCACAGAGTTTGCAGATACAGAGATCCTCCATTTTGGTGAACTTTTAGCTTAACCTTTAGGCTAAAAGTATTTATGAATCTAAATTATTACTTCAAAAAGGCAGATGATGCCAAAGATATAAGAACGCGAAAAGGTGATCTTTGGGACTGTGTATAGTGTCAGCGGTGAAATCTCAGGACTACTGAAAGCTCCTTTGGTCAGGAGGCAACAACACAACATGTAGTTTTAAAATAGATGCCTCCTCTGAACCATGCATTTTCAGACCACATTTAATGTCCTTGGCTTTAAGAAAATAAAAATTTCACTGTCTCACAAAACTGAGAAAGTGCTCAACAGTATATTGTTTAAAACTGCTTTTTTAGATGTTTTAAAACTTATATTTATTCAATTATTGGCAAACTATCATAGTAATCTTCAAGAAATAAAGTTTGTATTTAACCACAATCCACAGATAATGCTTCAAGAATTGAGACCAGGTTTAATTTTGACAGTTTCTAAGCTGATTCATTGTTAATAGCAACTGAATCCAGGATCTTGCATATAATTAGGAATTGAGACTAAAATTTTGGTTGAGGCAAATTCTTTACCATTTTAAGCCACAAATACACATGGTCATGATTCATACTTTTTCCTTTTATTTCTACTTATTCCTTGCCAATATTTATTGTAAGAACATATCTCTTTCCCTCTCTTTCACTCCTCCTCCCTTCCTCTCTTCTCTCTCTCTCCCCCTCCTCTGCCATCACCACCACCACCTCTTTCTTTTGTGAATTGAAGACTTCTTTACATTCATATAGAGTATACAACATATTGCCATATAATATTGACCTACTAATGACAAACAGAGCTACCAGTGACATACAGTGCATATAAGTTTTGTGAACGTCTTTCAGGAAATTTTGAAAGAGTTTTATACTGCCAAGATTAACTCATCTTTCCTATGAATTTCTCAACTAAGTTAATAAAATATAGAAGTTCTTTGAGTTAGTAACAAAATCATCTTCTTAATTTAATGCTCCCATCTACTGTTAAACCCAAGAATAGCAATTTGGATAGAAAGCTTATTTTCAATTGAACAATTAATGAATAAATAAATGTTTAAATGCTTGAAAGATATCCATGGAAAACATTTAAAAGAAGCCCAATACTCTTTTTCATTTTAGTATAAATGAAATTAAAATTTCTGTTATTTTAAAATTGACTATTTTAAGGAAAATTTCCTTTGTTGTGTCAATTTATGTTAATTAGCAGATTTGGTGTTTTAAGCAATCTCTCCTAGTCTTAGCAAATGATGTAGGAAAGATATGATTTTCTAATGAAACGGAGAATACATTTGTTCCAAACTATCTCTACTTTGGGTGTTGTCAATAGTCGTGACTGCATAACAAAAATAACATTGTACCCGGTAATTTACTCTCTACCTTTAGAGGATGGCTGCACCTATCTCGGTCAGACCTATGCAGCTCGAGATGTCTGGAAGCCGGAACCATGCCAAGTATGTGTCTGTGACGCAGGATTAGTTCTCTGCGATGACATACTATGTGATGAGGAAGGTTTAGACTGCCCCAACCCAGAAATCCCATTTGGAGAATGTTGTGCAATTTGCCCACCGAGTCCAAGACCTGTGAGTACCAAGAAATTTTTGTACATCTTCAAGATTCTGGTTAAAATACATGAATAGCTTCTACATAAGAGCTTCAAAAGAAATTTAAGTTGTGTCTGTCCAATAGTCATTCCAGTATTATAAGTAAATGACAATTTAAAGCATTTAACATGGTTTAACAAACAAACATGTAAATTGTGATGTAGTTCTTGGAAACTTTTTTCTATGTCTTGTTAAATCTGTATCTTTTCCATTTACTAGACTACAGGTCCTTCTGTTGGTCAAGGACGTCAAGGCCCCAAAGGAGATCGAGTAAGTAAACATTCTTCAGGGGAATAAATTCATGTTATGATAATTCTTTTCCATGTCCTTTTCAGATTTGAACTTTAATTAGTCAGACATTTTTCTTTAGTATTCCATATCTAAATAATGAGATCAAATGACAAACTAAAAATTCATAATTACTCATGTCAATATTCATATTGCCAAAAATTCATATAATGTCTTTATCATTATAATCAAATTATTCACAAATTTTGCATAAAAAGGCATTTATTCATTAGAAAAGATATCACTTGCACTGATTCCTAATACCATAAAGCAGAGAAGCAAAAATATGATAATGATTCTTAATCACAGGATGTTTCACTCTTTTGATTACTTTTATCCTTAATTTTTTTAGGGCCCTCCTGGTATTCCTGGGAGAAATGGTGACCCTGGTATCCCAGGGCAACCAGGTTCCCCTGGTTCTCCTGGCTCCCCTGGAATCTGTGAACCATGTCCTGGTGGTCAGGTAATGAATTATAGGACTAAAGATTCTCCTTAAAACAGAACCTAGATTAGGAAAAATTAGAAAATCTTTATGTTTAGGAAAAATTAGAAAATCTTTATGAGTTTTAAAAAGAGTTTTCCAAAAAGCAATTCAGCAAGAAGCAAATAATATTGTCTAACTTATTCTTATCCTGGTAACCAAATAGAATCTATCTCTAGACCTGGAACAAAAATTAAAATAAGTTTCAAAAAATTCAATAAGTATATGATCATTTCTAATATTAGTATTTTTCCCCCCTGTAACAATGCTTAATTTGGGATACAACTATTAGGCGTATTTAACCATAAATCCAGAGATATAAATTTTATTTGTTTCATTAACTGTTTAGAAAAGTAATTTGACTTAACCAGTTCCCAGTACAAAATGAGAAGTTTGGATTTTATAATCTTAAGATTCTTTAAACTTCAAGTCTATGATTCTACGCAATGCTATAGATATTGCTTAGTAATAATGGTTTGAATGAGAGTATTTAAGATCAAATTTGGGCATTAACATTGAATCTGTATTTAACAATTTAGTTGAAATATTCATGCATTATACAAGCAAGTGTTTTGTAGTATGTCTAATATCTAAAGTTACAGAGAAACAGGACAAACAAGATAATTAGTATATACCACCTCTGTTGGCATGCAGAAGCCTTCTACCAGTGAAGAGTAGCTGTTGCCTGAACTTCTTCAAAGTGCTTTTGAAAATAACTGTGATCTATTTGTTAAAGTGAGCATGTTTCTCTAATCTCCGCTGCAGAACTATTCTCCCCAGTATGACTCTTATGACGTCAAGGCTGGAGGTTTAGGAGCAGGAGCTGGCTTTCCTGGTCCAGCTGTAAGTATAAATATTTTTCAGCATTTTAGAGTACTGTTTAACCTTCCAGTTTCTTAAATTTCAAATAATGTTCTAAAAATCTGGTATTTTTGTGAACTTTTACAAAATAGCTTATCCTATATTAAGGTTGTGAAAGAAGATGTTACATTATCTTGTTTCTTCTCTCAGTTTTTCCTCATATCTTTTCCTGCCAGGCCTGTAATTCCACTTCCTATATGACCACCTGAATGGGTAGGGGGTTCACCTGCTTACATGCTTCATGCTTGGGGCTCACACATTTTCTAATTTTTAATCAAATATTGTCACATTTTGCTTCCACTTTTCATCTTTCTCACCCAAATTTTCAGTCTTATTTTTATATCTTTCATTCATTAAAGATTGCTTTCTAGATAATAGTCCAAGTAACGACTGTTCAATATCTCAATCTGCCTTGCCTCCAATTCTCAAAATCAAATAGAAATGTTTCCAGAATTCATTGATTCTTTATACTCTACCTTAAATAATAATTATGTATGTGTACCTGAAGGACTTTTTCCAAGTAAACAACTTAGAGTTTTAATAGAAGAAAACAGCAAAAATCTTTGAAACCTGGGCACCCATACACGATAACATACATGGAAACCCACAAAAATGACCTTTGTTTAGAATAGCCTTTCAGGATGATCAGTAATAGAGAAGGTTATGATTATCATTGCAAGTATCTACCACAGGAGAGTAAATGGAATATGGCACTGAATTCTCTGGGATTGTAGAGGACTGCTGTCCAAATCACTGGACCTCATATCATGACTTCCAAAACAAGAAAACACAAACTTTTTACTGATCCAAATGGCCTTTTTAAAAAAAGGCCCTTTTAGTGGGTAGAAAGTAAGTTGCAAAAAGAATTTTTTACAAATCCGTAAAGTTTTAAGGGCTGTGCCTTTTTTGTATTTTTCAAAGCCACAAGGAGAATTTATGTGACATTGCATCTTAGCTAAATTTGCATTATGAATCCTATTATTTTAATTGGACCTATAAATTTAAATAAAACTACCACTTATGGACACTCCAGAAAAATGATTACAAGAAAAATCTTAATTGAAAACTGTTGTTTTATAAATTTATTATCATTATTTAGAAACAGCATACTACAGAACTGGTTTTTTAGTTTAGCTTTTATTTCTGAATGATGATAATCCATTTGTTCTAATTTTACAAATTATTATTTTACCATGTGTGATGATTCTCATATGCACATCTAAATCTCCATATCAATGCAACTCTGTGATATCTATACCAATAGATACTTATGAGGTTTGAGGTTGATTTACATTATTATTTTAGAAACTCAGATCATAGTATCAGATAAATGTTTTCCCACACTGAGTTTGGCTACTAGATAAGAAATTGCATCCTCATTGATGCAGTGTCAATCAAACACTGCAGGGATTCTCATAGCATTTTGTACTCATTTTTCTAGCTTTTGAATTCCCTTCTTTAAAGATAAAATTTAACATTTTATAAGATTTATTAATAATTTTATGGGTTCTGGGATAATTTCATCTGCAGTAATGTTTTCTTTTTAAGATCTTCATTGAATATCTCATACATGTATCTATATCAGTGAAGAGTTAACATATAATGAGATACAGTTGTTTGCATTTAAAAAAAAATACCAGCATTCTATCTAAATAGTCATGTCTCTGAAGAACATGTACAGTGTACTTCATACTAATTTACTTTATATTTACATTCAAATTTATATTCCAGGGTCCTCCAGGCCCTCCTGGCCCCCCTGGTACATCTGGTCATCCTGGTTCCCCTGTAAGTATGGCACTGGGGCTTTCTGCTTCATGGATGTACAAATTAATGTAGAATCTGCTATCATTTAGTTATTTTAGCATGCACAATCCCAATTAAAGGGAGTTTCAACCAATAAACTGACTATTTTTTTAAGTGATAGAATTCCAGATTTAATTCCTTTACACAAATAGTTACTAGCTATTAAAAACTTGGTAAAATTAAATCACATGTTTTATTGTCTATAATATGACTTTGAGTTTAAAACAATTCAGTTTCAATGGAATGATATGAATGGAATGGAATATATTATCTTTATATTCTAGTCTGAAAATAAAAGTTTGGTTTCAGTACTTATAAACTGGAATAAACTTGTTGACTGCATTCACAAATCCAGATTTCCTACTATCTTCAAAATGCAAATGGGTAATATGAAGATTTTGTTACTTTAAAAATATTTACTTATTAATTATTCACCAGGGTTCGCCAGGATACCAAGGTCCCCCCGGTGAACCAGGGCAAGCTGGTCCTGCAGTAAGTAACAACTAAAGCTATATTTAATAAATTGACAACACAAGGTAGACAACCAATTTCTATAGGTAAAGTCTCTTCGTTTTCTAAAATAGCCATACACCTCTATAGAGTGAAGATTACATTTATGTTTAAGTTTTACACAATAAATAACATTTTTATGGTATTTGAATTGGTTTCAAAAATTTTAGGGATTCTTTGGTTAATTATCAAAATTGTCCACTTCATAGAGTAAATCTCTTAAATACAGATTTCATTTCTTGTAACGACTCAGTTCACCTATATATCTACTCTATTGGTATGCATGTACATATACATATTTATATAATAGGAATAGTCATAAAGAGTCTTCCAGAGGATATAGTATGTAAATAAACAAGAAGTGGAGCTATCTTAATATTTCAAAATATTTAGAAATATCTGCATATTTAGATATATTCATTATCTCAACAAATGTAAAAGAACATTTGAATATACAAATACATGCACATAGCATAAAATATAGATACAGGGGACTTAATTTTCATTAAAATAAATTTAATTAAAAGTAAAAAATTGTATAGAATAGATGTATAATACTAGCTCAGTAAGTATAAGTTTCATGATGAGAATCATTGAAAGGATTTTCAAAATGGTAGTCCCTTCTTGGAGGCACATAATGGGTTATAATAAACTGTAACAGAAAAGTTTATAAATATGTTTTTTATTTTCTTATTTTAGGGCCCTCCAGGACCTCCTGGTGCTATAGGTCCATCTGGTCCTGCTGGAAAAGATGTAAGTTTTTAAGGACTGGATGAGGATACAGCAAAATTCTATTTGGAGTATTCTAAACAGCATATGCCATATAGCAGACTCTCAGAGGGAATAACATTATTTAAAAAATGTGTGTCTTAACAACATTTTAGCTCATAAGGGGTTGAGAATTTATACTATATTTACATAGCTATATATACCATTTGTTGAATTCTAAACTAATAGAACTCCAAATGTACTTCCTAACTATAAAGACTCATCCAGTGAATATATCATTTAAATGAAGGAGGTGTGATTTTCTTATGTGTGCCTCTTGTCATGAAAAAAATTGATAACAGTATTTTATTAGCTTTAAGATTCATCGATACCTTAATGCAATGCCATTCTTTCTTCTAATTTCCAATGATAAATTCTTCTCACTAGGTTGAGGCAGGGGCATATCTCAGTGATGAGAGGCACCTGTATCATCTCTTTATAAGTTTATATCAGGGTAGGAGAAGTTCTCCTCAATCCTTATACTAATAAACAACTCTGTGAGTTTTAGTGAGTTCTTCATGCAAATTAATCAGACCACTTGTTGTTTACAGTGTATTTTCTCATACAGGACTCTCATGTACTCTATTTCTCCATCTAGGGAGAGTCAGGAAGACCCGGACGACCCGGAGAGCGAGGATTGCCTGGACCTCCCGTAAGTCTGATAAATTAATCATAATTAGCTTAGCTTGAAAATTATTACATGGCTAAATTGAATTAATAAAAAATAGAAAGCATTTTGCTACTTAGCTGATTCTATTTGAAGGTTTGTTGATATTTTTTCTCATGTGCTACTTCTAGGGTGTGAAAGGCCCAGCTGGCATGCCTGGATTCCCTGGTATGAAAGGACACAGAGTAAGTAGAATTTCTATATTACCTATGGGGTGCTCCGTTTGGTTGTGTTTACTTACTTGCCTAACCAATTTTAGTGGACAATTCATTTTTTACCAAAAGTAGTTGATTCTGACAATTAGGTGATTTGATGTTTGTAAAATACTAACAAACTTATTTGTTAATCAAACTAAGAATTTTATGCAAATGATTGAGTTGATTGGAAGTGCATGGAAAGGCTTGGTTAAGAATAATTTACTTTTCTTATTATAACTGTCATAAAAAATTGAAGATATATTATTATTTAGTCAATATAAATTGAATTGGGCCTTTATCCTATGAATGCATTAGATAGATTCAACCAAGTCTAAAATTCTATGAACTAATGGGAATAAAATCAACACTAGTGTTTCAGTCTATAGTAAAGTCAACATTCTAAAATCAGATGAAATGGTACTTTCTAGTTTCATTTTTTTTTTTTTGCTGTAAAATGAAATATCTTCAACCCATTTAAAATTTTATATTATTTAAATTAATGTTGTAAAGAGTGCTATGTAGTAAAAGCTAATAATACAAATTTAATGTAAAGTTTATCAATCATTCTGGATTGCAAATAAGTTTAATATGTTTATTTTTATATATTTCATAGGGCTTTGATGGACGAAATGGAGAAAAGGGTGAAACAGGTGCTCCTGGGTTAAAGGTAAACTGTATTTCCATATGATCATTTTCATCTGATCAAATCCTATTTTTATAAGTAAATCAATTTAAATTTTAAAGCAATTATATTGTGGAGCTTAATTTTTTCTGAAATTTATCAGAATTTTACATGTTAGGAGCTGAATAATAGTGACTATTTGAGATACTCTATTAAAGTTTCCATGAAACATAGCTTGAAAAGTCTAGATTAAAATGGTTGAACATTGCAGTGTAACTCATTAATTACTTATGTTTCGTCTTTGTGCTTTTAAAATGCAGAAACTGAGATTACTGATAAAATAAAATGCTAACGAACATTTGATATCATTAAGATACTTCTTTTTCTTAGGTTCATTATATTTTCCATACCATATATTTTTTAAAATAAAAGATCCTCTTTCTGTTGTATAAAATGTTGACATATTTTATGTGCCTCTAGGGTGAAAATGGTCTTCCAGGTGAAAATGGAGCTCCTGGACCCATGGTAATTATGTTTCATAATAAAATTCTCATGATTACTATCAACCTCCACCTAACCCTAAACTTGCTTTTCTCCTTCCCAACTGTTGTTATGCATGTCAACTTTAAAGTAAGATCGTATTTTCAATTTCACTCTGCAGGGTCCAAGAGGGGCTCCTGGTGAGAGAGGACGGCCAGGACTTCCTGGAGCTGCAGTGAGTATCCCTAAAAGCACAACCCAGTTATATGCCAGAATGACAGATAAGAGTCTCAGGTAGTCACACTGTGAAAATCTTCAGAAAAATATCTTTTCTGCAAGACTATATCAAAGTCAAACCAAGTAAATTTCTGGCTATAATTACATGAAAGTGAGTAAGATTTTGACAACTATTATATCTGTTGATATTATTTCTTTTCAAGATGACTTAGCATATGTCATGAGACCATTATATATGAATTCAGTTCTGAAAACACAGAATCTAATCCTTCTACATTTGATCAATGCTATACATATCAGAATTTTAGCAACTTGACCATAAAAATATATAATTAGTAGATTTTAATATACTTGAGGAAATCTCAAGTCTCTTGAACTTGAACTTAAATCAAATGTTATTTGTCATCAGTTTTTCATAATTAAGAATATATTTGACTTGAACTTTTCTCTTTAGGGGGCTCGAGGTAATGATGGTGCTCGAGGTAGCGACGGTCAACCAGTAAGTAACTGTGCATAAGCCTGATTTGTTCAAGGGTAACCATATATTCTGAACTGTAGAATATTTCATAATTAATATATATAAAATAATTCATATATTCAATTCTAATTGCCTATTTTTATAACGTTGTTAATCAATTTTTTGGTAGACCCTATACTCAACATTAGATATGTAATCATCTGATTCAAACTGACACTGAGCTCATAAACAAAATCTAGGTTCTGACATGTCTGTTATACTTACTGAATTGCTAACATCTGTATGGTCCTTACAATGTTGGCTAATATTCAATATGGGAGATGACATTTGAAAGAGCCCTACAAAAATGCATAACAATATTACCTTCATTTTGTAAATGAGAGCACCAAAGCTCAAGCCTAATTAACATACAGAAAGTCACAGAACTTATGGCAAAAGTGGGGAGAAATCCAGATTTCCTAACTCTTCAGATTTCTACTCTTCTTATTGTGCCATGTTTCTCTACATAACATTCCTCCATCAATAATGAATACTGCTTTTATTTACATAAGTGCCTTCTGTATTTTATATTTGCTCATTTATTACTTACTTGGAGTATTAGGTTTCATTTGTTTGATTAAGAGCTCTTGAAATTTTATTTACTTATTTTCAGGGCCCTCCTGGTCCCCCAGGAACTGCAGGATTCCCTGGATCCCCTGGTGCTAAGGTAAGCATGTATTTCTATAGAAGAACATGAAAATATCTTGGAGACAACAAAAAACATTAAATTGCTTCTTGCAAATGATTTAATTAGTCAAATGGATCGCTTTTGTCTATGTAGAATTTTAAAGCTCTATTCATGACTATAAGAAAAGCGTTATCCACTGCATTCAGCTATCCTGATACCTCTTCCAGTTCCTTTTGCCTTGTCCCATCATCTTTCAGGGAAACAAAACACAGTCACATATTTACCCTTTTTCTCTGCCTTTGTGGTTAATGAATTTTTTCTTTAACTACAGTATGTAGTCATAGTACTACAGCTTTGGGATGATGGTTTTAAACAGGGTCAAAGTGTGAACTAAGCAATTAGGAGTGGCAAACAAAATTGACTACTTAGGGTTTTATCTCTTAGGGTGAAGTTGGACCTGCAGGATCCCCTGGTTCAAATGGATCCCCTGGACAAAGAGGAGAACCCGGACCTCAGGGACATGCTGGTGCTCAAGGTCCTCCTGTAAGTAGTGAATATGGCCACTGTGAGGAAGAATGCTGCTACACTACTTGCAGAAGCATATCTTTCAATGTTGCTAGCAATTAGAAAAAAGTTGCTGAATGCTCTGCAATGATTCTACTGTGATAAATACTGATCGGATTAGTAGTTAAAATGGTAGTTTTGAGGTTTGAACTATTCTAGAATGCATAAATTTTAAGTTTATATAACCCAGAATAGGTTGGAATGGGTAGGATAATCATCTGGCATTTTGAAGAATGTGCCCTAAACTAATAATCAATCAAAAAACTTAAAAAAATAACAAAACCAAACACTTCTCCTACTTATGTATTTTTTCAATAATTTAGAAAAAGTATATATCATCTCTAATTTATTTAAATATTTTGGGGAACCACCTAATCTCTACAAAGTGTAATGACTGCTGATAAGTATATTTTAAAAACAAATAAACAACTCTAACTGTATATGAACTATTTTCATTATTATTAATATGCTTCATTTGTGTGTCCTCTAGGGCCCTCCTGGGAATGCTGGGAGTCCTGGTGGTAAAGGTGAAATGGTAAGTTTCCTCACCCCAACATACACATGATTCACTAGCAACTCATACACATACAGATTACATTTGTGATACTTAAGTGAGATATTCAGAAGGGAAACTTCATGTTTGGCTAATGTTTATGTTCTTGGGTTGTTCTTAGGGTCCTGCTGGCATTCCTGGAGCTCCTGGGTTAATGGGAGCCCGGGGTCCTCCAGGACCACCTGGTGCTAATGGTGCTCCTGGACAGCGAGGTGGTGCGGTAAGTGGCCTTTTTTTCTCCCCTCTGTTGCCTAAAAGGTGTGGCTTAATTCTCACAATAAAAATATTAATCATGATTTTTTTGGCCCTATTCGGTTGAATAGATTTCACCCCGATGAAACACTGAATCATTTGTGACTGATGATGATTTTTCTATGACTCCTTCCTGTTTCTTAATCTAGATTTTGTTTCACATTAGGGTGAACCTGGTAAGAATGGTGCCAAAGGAGAGCCAGGACCACGTGGTGAACGTGTAAGTACTACCACAACAGATTTGGTTATTTCTTGGAGAACTAGCACATAATTAGCAAGTAAATAGGTAAAAATTTTGCAACTAAATTTAGTCATCAATCTTTCACTTTGGCATCATTTTTTTTAGGGAGAAGCTGGTTCCCCAGGCATTCCAGGACCCAAGGGTGAAGACGGCAAAGATGGATCACCTGGCGAACCTGGTGCAAATGGAATACCAGGAGCTGCAGGAGAAAGGGTGGGTTTTCTACTGGTCATCTGTAAGAGGCAGCCACTGTTTTTCTGATGTTGAATATTCAATCCTAAATATTGTTTAAAGCCTTTTATAGCATGACACTATCTATATTGCCACTCAGGAATTATGAAAAAGTTTTAATCCCTATGACAAAAATATTTGACTTTCATTATTTCCAGGGTGCCCCTGGATTCCGAGGACCTGCTGGACCAAATGGCATTCCAGGAGAAAAGGTAGATAACTTTGGTATTTATTTTCCTAAAGTCGAGTACTAGTACTATAAATAAGTAGTTCTTCAATATATAGCTTCCCACCACTGAAAACCTAAATCTCTGAAAGGCAATGAATTTTAAAAATTCCAATGTAAAACTTGGAATGCAAAAGCCACTTTCCTGGCTTTGTAATTAAAGAATGTCACTTAATCTTCATCAGAATATTTTAACTTAATTCTGAGTTGGAACTCACTTAGCACCATTGCAAAAATGAGATAAAATAAAATACCTGAAAATCCTTTGAAAGCTCTAAAGTAATATAAAAAATGATTTCATATCTTCAGAGATACTTGAATTTAAGTGTATGTAAGTATACTGTTAAGCCAAATAAATATTGTTTGTTTTAAGGACGTTACGTTCATCATAGTTTTTAAAAAATTTTTTTCAATATGGTAATTCATGCTAAAATAACTGCTTTTCTGAAGAAGATGTCAGCAACATATTAGCCAAATAAGTTCTATACTTACAATTTAAATATTGTTCATGTCTAGGCTAATGAAGGCTCTTCTAAAAGTTTGTTAATTTATTTCACTATTTAGGGTCCTGCTGGGGAACGTGGTGGTCCAGGCCCTGCAGGTCCCAGAGGAGCAGCTGGAGAACCTGGCCGAGATGGTGCCCCGGGAAGTCCAGGAATGAGGGTAGGTATTTGTTGGAGTGACATTTTAACTTGGTCAAAAGAAAGGCAAGATAAATGAATTTTTGTAAAGCTCAAATCAAAAAAATTCTTTTAAGGCAATTAAGGCCAGGGCAGATTAAGAAAGAATAGAAAATAAAACACTTAGATGCTTTATAGAAAGAAAAAAGACAAAGTGTCAAATATGAGGCCAAGTATGTAAGTTGAAATATCTGAATTGTATAAACAGGTTGTGTTGTATTTTTTAAAAGTTTATTTTAAATCACTTGACAACTGATATCTTTCATTTAGGGTATGCCTGGAAGCCCAGGAGGACCAGGCAATGATGGAAAACCAGGACCTCCCGTATGTACAATTTAAAAATATCTCATTTTATAAGCCCCCCAAAAAACAATGTAGACTTTAAACTGTCCTTGAGTAGATACCTCTCTATATTGTATATTTTGATCGGGTATTTATTAAACTTTGATTAATATAATTGTTTATTTCATCAGGGAACACAAGGAGAAAGTGGTCGCCCGGGTCCTCCTGGGCCATCTGGTCCCCGAGGTCAGCCTGGTGTCATGGGTTTCCCTGGTCCTAAAGGAAACGATGTGAGTTCCTTTATTAATTTATTCAAAAATTATATGACAGGAAGCCTTTGTTCTTATTTGAGTCTTTTCCTTAAAATATGGAAAAGTATAATTGCAGCATATAGGAAGAAAGCTAAATATATAATTGGTTGTGTGTGTATGTGTAATAAATGACTTAAAGTAAAGTATTATTCCTATTAATGGATAATTTAAATGTTAAATGTATGTGTTTTATGGTTAAATAAAACCCAAGTTCAAGGTAAAAAAAATATAGGAGGTAACCATATTTATGATATTTGTGATCTTTCTTTAAATTGGTAAATATTGGTCATTTTTTTCTTTAGGGTGCTCCTGGCAAGAATGGAGAACGAGGTGGCCCTGGAGGGCCTGGCCTTCCGGTAGGTACCTTTCATCTACTTATTTCTAGCCTTCTCATAGATGCATTCATGTCCACCCTTAGGACTTCTCTTTGTTATCTAATTAACTGTGCTCCTCTAATTTGTTGTCTTTAGGGTCCCCCTGGAAAGAATGGTGAAACTGGTCCTCAGGGTCCCCCAGGACCTACTGTAAGTTGACTCACATAAATTAGAGATGGAAGTGGGGTGGAGTTTGGGTAGGGGGAAGACTTTGGACTCTCTCTGACACTGTGTCATTGTAATTTACCAAAGAAATTGTGAATTTGTTTAGTTATCTAGTTAAAAGCTTGCAATAGTATGCATGGTAATAGTCTTCGTTGGATTGCTTTCACAGCCCAGACTTCCCCTCTTCACACCCTTTTATTTTAAATTAAATTATAAGCCTGCCAAAATGTCAAGCGTAGACTAAGATGAAATGGCCTTTTGTAATGGAGTATATCATTATATTTTTCTACATAGGGGCCATCTGGTGACAAGGGAGACTCAGGACCTCCTGGTCCCCAAGGATTACAAGTAAGATCTTCTTCTTTAGACTTCACTGGTACTTGCTTTTACCAGACAATCCTATAATTTGCTTTTATAATTATTTTGTTGAGTGAATTGGCTGTTCGAATTTTTTGATAAGTTTGTCTTTAGTCCTAAAATGCCGGTCAATGTTAAGAGGTTGACATGTCTTCAATACCTATTTCAGAATGTACACATTAAGTTACTAAGAAAGAATTAAACTCATAGCTCTGTGTGTTCACATTTATTTTTCATTATAATATAGATCCATGTAACTAAATTTGTCTTGCCATTTTTATCAACTCATTTTTATATATAGCAATAGGAAAGAGATTAGCACAGACGTGGAAGATATTATTATCTCATCTTTGTCATTGGATTTTGAGTAACACAAACTGTATATCTCTAGAAATACTATGAAAACTTCTTTGAATATCTTGAAAAAATATGTTTATATGGAAAGCACTGTTTGAAGTGATCACATAATACAAATATGTCTCTCTGTAGGGCTTACCTGGAACTGGTGGTCCTCCAGGAGAAAATGGAAAACCTGGTGAACCAGTAAGTGCCATTTTATGTTTAGAAACTTATAATAAATAGTAATCATGCATCAATTATTAACTTTTTCACTTTTTCATCCTATGGCATATAAGTTGTGATATTTAGTTTTGAAATATTCATTATCAAAACAAAAATGATAATTTAAAAATCACCTGGAATGTTTGAATTTTACTATAAAATAAAGGAACTAAATAAAGAGTACAAAACTTCAAGATTTAAACAATTTTACAAGATGAACAAACAAGGTGTATATATTTACTGCTTATATTTACATAATGCATTTTAATATGGACTTAATCATGTAATACCCACTTCCTAGGGTCCAAAGGGAGAAGCTGGTTCTCCTGGAGCTCCCGGAGGAAAGGTAATATATCGGTTTCTCTCTTTTTCCTCATTATACAGCAATTCATTTGTAATGCATTTTAAGAATGTTAAGCCAGGGCTGGAGACATGGCTCAAGCGGTAGCGCGCTCTTCTGGCATGCGTGCGGCCCGCGTTCGATCCTCAACACCACATACAAAGATGTGTGTCCGCTGAAAACTAAAAAAAAAAAAAAAAAAAATTAAAAAATTTCTCTCTCTCTAAAAGAAAAAAAAAATGTTAAGCCAAACTAGCACTTCTTTAGAAAATCAACATTTTAAATGTTTGGTAAGTCCATTTAGGGAAGCTCAAGACATTTCCAATACATTAAATTTGCTTCATCTAGAAAATCCAATTCTCTGACAGTAATAATAAACAGTATAGAATCAGCCATGGGCTTGAAGTCTCAAAAGGCAAATACTGCATTAATTCTCTATAGGAAAACTGTATTTGTAGAACGACTTCAAAATTTACCAAGCGAATAAAATAATAAATTTTTCAAAGAAAACTAATACTTAGGCAGAACAAGAATCTGACTTTCCTTGTTTAGTCTGTTTAAGTTTTCAGTTTCTATACAACTGATAAATATTTTTTTACAAATATAAAAATTTCCAAACTGCTCAAAAATATCTTAAGAACCTAGTGGCCTGTATCAAAATTATATAATCTAAGTTGCCTTTGTTTTGTTTTTAGCACTGGATTTTCTAACTTGAATATTTGCATTTTCCTATGACAGGGTGATGCTGGTGCTCCTGGGGAACGTGGGCCTCCTGGGTTGGCAGGGACCCCAGGTATCAGAGGTGGAGCTGGTCCCCCTGGCCCCGAAGGAGGAAAGGTAATGCCACAGAATTCAATTCCCCTATATTTTAGAAAACACATTTCATTTCTTTCTTTCCATTTACTATTCTCCCATAATTTCAGGGTCCTGCTGGTCCCCCTGGGCCACCTGGTACTGCTGGTTCTCCTGGTCTGCAAGGGATGCCTGGAGAAAGAGGAGGTCCTGGAGGTCCTGGCCCAAAAGGTGACAAGGTACTGACACGTTTTTTCTCTTAATTATGTAATGAAACAGATATTGTAGGTTAAAGGAAAGCCATATAGTAGAAATAATCTGTTTTCAAAATTAATGTTATCATTCTATACTAAGTAAAATTTGAGATGGATCAGAATGCCTAATCACAGCAAATCCTGAGGGTTGCTCCTCTTACTAGATTCTCACTGAGAATACTTACAATCTGATGACAATTGGTTTTATTTGACAGGGTGAACCAGGTAGTGCTGGTGCTGATGGTGCTCCAGGAAAAGATGGTCCAAGGGTGAGCATTCACATTTGGGATTAACAGGCCTTATTCATGTGTGGTATGGGACAGTCCCTTAGTTCAGTTCCTCATAATAAATTTAGAACTATACTTTGTCCTTTTTCTGGGCATTAAAAGAACCCAAATGATTTGATTATGTAAGTTACTAGTTTACATCTATCACTACCTGATCATTCTTTGATGATCTAAAAATGAAAACCCTCGAAACTATGATAAAGGTCTAAAATTAATGTCATCATGAGACCTATAATCCAAAATAATCAATATTGCTATTAAAAAAACTTTTTTATTTTAAATAACATTATAATTCCATGGTACATTCATATCATGGAATACTATTGGCAATAAATGGAATGAAATATTGATATGCACAACTTATACAAACCTCAAGGACATCACTGACTGAAGAAAAGTCAACTTCAAAGGGATACAAAGTGCATGTTCTCATTCTTGCTTAATAGTCACAGAATAACATAATTAAAGAGTTGTGGATCATGTTAGTTGTTGTAAGGATTTAGGAACAAGAGGAGGTGGATATGGTCTAAAGAGGTGGCACAAGAAGGTGGTACACTGATGACATAGTGTCTTGGGGTAGTCCTGGCAGGCAGCACATGATACAATTGTACAGAGCCATACACACATGGCACACACAGGACTGCATAAGTAACTGCTGAAATCTAGATGGATTGCACCAATGTCAGTTTCTTGGTTTAATATCTTACTATAGTTCTGTAAGATATGAATATTGGTGGACAGAACTTCTTATCCATTTCTTTGTATCCTTCTGCAAATCTGTGGCCATTTCAAAATAAAAGTTAAAAATATACAAGAAATTATAAAAATCCTATTCACATTAACAAACTTCTAGATTAGACTGGCTCAAATAAACCTAAGTTATTTCATAGACATATTTACTGAAATCGTCTTAAAGAAATTCATGTATACTTCACTTTTGACAGACTAGATAGATAAGCCATCATTCAATTATTTTTAAATGCCTAATCATTTATGTATAAATGGATATAGATATATGGATAAAACTAATATTTGTAAGTTTCAAAATGTAATGTGAGTGATAGTACTTTGAGTAAACATTTTAAATGACCAAGCAGTTGAATTAAAGGAATGTAATTTTAAAAAGACATTATGCTAAGATCTCTCATCACATCCTATTTATCTTCTACAATAGAGATAAAAATGATGAATGAATCAATAAACTGCTGCTGAATCCTATTGTTTTCTAGGATCATCCTCAGAGAATCTGCTATTTACTAAACTTTTTAATCACTACACACAATGATCAGCATAACATTCAAGCCATAAATGAAATCATATTATCTAGTTTATTTGATGAAAAGTTGTAAACATTCTCTTTAAATAATATGGAAAAAATGAAGTGTTTTATCTTCAAAATTTAAAAGTATATTTTTATTTTCCTCAGGGTCCTACTGGTCCTATTGGTCCCCCTGGCCCTGCTGGTCAGCCTGGAGATAAGGTAGCACATAAAACTGTTTGTTAACAAGAATAAAATGACTTAGACTTTTGGATGCATGATAGAGACAATATTTGTTTATTCTCTTCTTAGGGTGAAGGTGGTGCCCCTGGACTTCCAGGTATAGCTGGACCTCGTGGTGGCCCTGTAAGTGTTAAAGACATTTCAACCTATTTTCATACCTCACACAGGACATAGCTACTTGTTCTGCCTCCCCACCGCCCCCCCACACACACTTTTTTTTTTTTAACAATTCTGCCCCAGATACCCTGAGCCTCAATTTGGAGGTTCTATATCTAGGAACACATGACAAAATCCACAAGAGACATTTGTAAGCCATGCTTTCTTGCTTGAATAATTCTGGAAGAATTAAAATTGCACAAGTAATATACACTTGTAAATGAGTTTCTTAAACCTACAGAATCTTTACCTGATAGTCTTTCTAGGTTAAAAATTCTCTACTCCAGGGTTAAGACTCAAGATAGATATCTAATAGACTTTTTTAATTAACTGATTTTTCAATAAACCGTTTTACCATATTTTTAAATGCTTAGATTTCTGAAAGTTAGATAATTAAATGTGCTAAATATTTCAACATTTTAAAAGTTTGTGTTTTCTTGCAAATAATAACCATGGTCAGAGGCAGACAGAGTCAATAGCTGTGGTGTTGTCTGCTCTGAATTTTGCTGAGAAGTGGTAAAGACATCAGAAGTTAAACTCTGTGTGTTATCTTTGCACATTTCCTGTTTAAAAGAAAAATAAGATGACACAGGGGACAATAAGCACTGCCTGGGGGGAAAGGTCTTCACTGTGACTAATGAGGATATTTTCCTCTGCAGGGTGAGAGAGGTGAGCATGGACCTCCTGGCCCTGCTGGCTTCCCTGGTGCTCCCGTAAGTATGCATGTTTAAACAAGTATATCACACAGCTGCAAAATAGAAATATAACTCAACTTTAGGGTTCTAGTCTTTCTTGGGCCACTTATTCCCTGAGAAGTTATTTTACCTCTGTGTTTCTTTAATTTACATATATTCTCACTTTTTTTAAAATAAAATATTTATTCTTAAGCTTTAGGTGGATACAATATCTTTATTTTACATTTATGTGGTGCTGAGGATCAAACCCGGTGCCTTGTGCATGCTAAGGGAGCACTCTACCACTGAGCCACAACCCCAGCCCATATATTCTCATTCTATTAAAAATGGAAATAAAAACACCTGTCCTGCATTTATGTCTGGGTAATGAGGCTAGAGCAACATCATAGATTTAAAAGTGTCCAAGGTCTTTAAAGTTCTTCCATTATCAGATGATGTTAATTAAAATTTTCTCTAAATTTAGTTTTTATCAAAGGAATTATTTTCAAACGCATAAATCCTTGGAAAGGCTTTCTTTCTAATGGCAAATTACGTACACCTCAGGCTTTCTTAATAAATTTTTTCTATCATGAGGATATTTTGATTGCCTTTACTTTGGCATGGATTCCGAGAGCTCGCTATTCTTATTTTATTTCAACTTCTTTCATCTGAAGAATGCTATATTCTGAAAAGAAATAAGGATACACCAAGTGTTAAGGATGTCAGCCAACAGGCCTTTGTTTCTGCTTTCAGGGACAGAATGGTGAGCCTGGTGCTAAAGGAGAAAGAGGCGCCCCTGGTGAGAAAGGTGAAGGAGGCCCTCCTGGAGTTGCAGGGCCCCCTGGAGGTGCAGGGCCTGCAGTAAGTACTCTCTAAGCTTTTAAGGGAAAACACAGGTTTATCAGGAATTTGATACTTCATGTTGACACAGCATGCCATAATTTTCATAGGCATATAATTCTAAATTTGAATCTTGGCTCCAGCAGTCTAGATAGGACAACATTCACGTTATTTTAATCTTCATAAGTTTACTGGTTATTGAAGGTTAAATGCTTCTCTCAAGTTCTTTTTTTTTTTTTGGTGCTATACTAAATAACCCTTTTCTCCCTCCATTCATACAGGGTCCTCCTGGTCCCCAAGGTGTAAAGGGTGAGCGTGGCAGTCCTGGTGGTCCTGTAAGTATTGATCCTCTTAACTATTATTGAAAAGCATTGACTGATATAAAAAAAAAAAAACTGCTTGAAAGATATTAGCGCCATAAAGTGAACATAGAAATTATTATCACTTATTGATGAGTAATAAGTAAATTCCAAGGAGATAAAGCTAACCATATGTGACTTCAAGGTAGAATGTTGATACCATCACATTTCTTATACTTTATATTTGTTTCCAGTGAATCATTACTTGTTCTCCTTTTGAAATTAAAAAAAAAAAAAAAAAATATATATATATATATATATATATATATATATATATATACACACTATTATTTCACAGGGTGCTGCTGGCTTTCCTGGTGCACGTGGTCTTCCTGGTCCTCCTGGCAATAATGTAAGTTTTTTATAACTTTTTTTTTCATTATGTACTTCCGAAAGAGCATTCGTATAGCTATAAGACAAGAAACACATATTGCTACTTTCTATTGAGTCCCATAAAAAATTACTTGAAAAAAGGTTTAAAAAAAAGGAAAGAAAAATTCACTTTTTCATTAATACTTAAATTTTCATATTTAAATTTCCAACAATTTTGTGTAGGGTAACCCAGGGCCACCGGGCGCCAGTGGTGCTCCAGGCAAAGATGGACCCCCAGGTCCTGCAGGTAACAGTGGTTCTCCTGGCAACCCTGGAGTGGCTGGGCCAAAAGGTGATGCTGGCCAACCAGGAGAGAAGGGACCACCTGGTGCCCAGGGACCTCCGGTGAGTGGCTTCATTGCTCTATTAATTGACAGTACTATTTTGCTCTCCATCATAAATTCAATAGAAGAAAGCATAGTCACATAAAGATGAACTGAGTCTTCATTATCTGTCACAACAGGGAGCTCCAGGCCCACTTGGAATTGCAGGGATTACAGGAGCACGGGGTCTTGCAGGACCACCAGGCATGCCAGGTCCTAGAGGAAGTCCTGGTCCTCAGGGTCTCAAGGTGAGTGCAGTCATCTTTCATTGGACTCTTGGTTTCTTTGATAGCATTCAGAGATCACCTCATCCCATCAAGTGTGAGAGGTTTTTATTTCATAGGTTCAAACTCTCTAAGTGATTCCATTTTTGTATACTTTTAGATTTGCAGAAACACAAATTTTATTAAATGGTCCCAGGACACAAAAACAGGCAAATCATTATCAGGTTTTAAATATAAACACAAGCAAATTAATATCAAAGAAAAATAATCTTACCATCTCAAATACTGCTGTTAAGAAAGTTGTGAATATTCTTGAGCTTGTTGTCTGTCAATCTTGAAGGAAGTAACATTCTTTGCTTACAAATCTATGAAAGTCTTTAACTGATACCTATTATCCATCCACTCTAGTCATTTTGCAGTCTTCATTTACTTTTACTAGTATTACCATAATATTTTAGTACATAGCATTTAAAATGTTCCATTTGGTAAGTAGGGTAATCAAATTTCATTTTTATTTGTGCTCACATTATGACACAGTAAGCATTACTTTTGAAAATGTCAAGTAATATTGTCATGAGATTAAAATTTTAATATTAAGTGTACTTAATTTGTATGGTATAACCAGTAGATGTATAGTTTTCATATAGCAAAAGTATTCAATAAAAGCTAGTCTAATAGTCACCATAAAACTATAGTTCTTTGATAGTAAACCATTATATTTTCTTGCATTACTCCTGTCTATTTATACAACTCACTTTAGAATGTACTCTGAATAAGATAATCTGTGTAATTATGCATTCCCTTAATATCCCAAGTCACTGAACAAATGAGAAAATGCAAGAAGCTTGCTCCCCCTCTAATTTTGCCCCATGGTGGGCATAGTGTAGGGAAAAGAACTTCAGTAGAAATTGAGTAAAACAAGATATTTCTATGAAAAATAAAGAGATGTGATAACACCATATTAATTGATTTCTTGAGTTAAGGTAATATCTTTTACTCCTCTGTACACAGGGTGAAAGTGGGAAACCAGGTGCTAGTGGCCACAATGGGGAACGTGGTCCTCCTGGACCCCAAGGTCTCCCTGGTCTGGCTGGTGCAGCTGGTGAACCTGGAAGAGATGTAAGTAGCAATTCTTAGGAGATGTTCAACAAGTCAGGTAGAATTTAGTCACTTACCTAAAGAGAAATACAATTGAGCCTTAATATCTGAGAGTATAAATATGGCCAAGTAGCCAAGTTCTCTTTGCTTCTCTAATAATATATTCTTCCTATTGCAACTCAGAATAGCCTTTAAGGGCTCTGGTCCTTAATATTGACCCAATAAATAATCATGAGAAAATATGAATTGTAGCTAAATTAAGAAACAAGTTAGTAGAGAGAGCCTCAATTTACGTCATTTTTTTTGATGAAATGTTCCTCAGTTATCTGCGATTAGTCATTTCTTATTATTTTAGATTTTTAAATTAATGTTTTAAATTGACAAATCTTAATTGTATATGTGAATAGATACCATGTGATATTTTGATATATGTATAAAATGTGGAATTATCAAGTAGACTTCCATTATCAGATCACTTTTTCTCAAACTTTTTTTTTCCTAATCATATCACCTTATTCCACCTTATAAAATTTAGTATCCTATAAATACTCCATATCTGTTCAGGTTTTATGATGCTTCGAAGGGCCAAACTGCATTGTAATACCTACAACTTATTGCCCAAGAACTGATTTCCACACCTTGAGAACTATATTGCCCCATTAAGAATGAGTGGTTTATATTGTATTTGGATGGTTTGAAGGAAGTTTATTTCCTTTCCCTCTCTCTCTCTCTCTTTTAATCAGGGAAACCCTGGATCAGATGGTCTGCCAGGCCGAGATGGTGCTCCTGGTGGCAAGGTATAACAAACACATGAATCATAAGTATGTGTACTATAAGCACGTGATCATCTCATTTATTTTGGATTTGTGAATTTGTCCCCAGGGTGATCGTGGTGAAAATGGCTCTCCTGGTGCCCCTGGTGCTCCTGGTCATCCAGGCCCACCTGGTCCTGTTGGTCCAGCTGGAAAGAGTGGTGACAGAGGAGAAGCTGTGAGTCCTGATCAGCACTGCCTCTCTTTACTTGTCTGTTTTTCTCAATGAAAAAGATTTGCAATGAGAAGATAGAATGTCAAATCTTCTGACCAAAATATCTGTTCTGATTTATGTTACAGTTCTTATACTAGTGGTTCTTAGGCAAATACAATAATCAAGATGTAATAGGAGTTTCTAGCATTTAGTCAATGAAAAAATTCCTATCTAAAACCTGAAACAGTGTTAATCAGAACAACAATCTGTATGCTGAGTAAATACAAAACTAAATTAATAGAACTATTGTCTAGCTTTCCAGGTTAGACCCCCCTTGTATAGATACAAATAGGAAAAGGACTTTGAAGGACAAAGCAAATTTCTAATAATGCATGCTATTGTTCCTTCACAATGAAATTGTTAACTTTTCAAAACAAAATTGTACTAATGAACATAAACAATTCTATGTTTATTTGTTCATTTGTTTGTTTTTGTCCCAGGGCCCTGCTGGTCCTGCTGGTGCTCCTGGTCCTGCTGGTTCCCGAGGTGCTCCTGTAAGTTTCGTTCTCTGTTTTAACTCATCATACAGTGCAGGAAATATTCTATTTTCTGGCATGGTCAGGAAAAGAGAATAACACAATATACAACTTTGTAACAAATATAAACTCCCCTTTGGCGATACAGAATACAATTCAGGTTCTAAAAATTCTTTGAGGTCAAGGATATAAACATCAGTTATTGGAATTCCATGCATTTAGTAGCACAAAGTTGAAGCAACCACAAAAAGCAGTCTTTATTGTTTCATGAATGTGTGAAGTGTCTGTTTATGGGGATTTCTAACTAGAATGCCATACAAGAAATTTAATTTCTATAAATTCTATTTTATTTTTTCAAAGTGTATGCATGTATATGGCCTTAATTTTAAACATATTTCTAAAGGGTCCTCAAGGCCCACGTGGTGACAAAGGTGAAACTGGCGAACGTGGCTCTAATGGTATCAAAGGACATCGAGGATTCCCAGGCAATCCAGGCCCCCCAGGTTCTCCTGTAAGTACATCCATTGTTAGAAAATCTCCTTGAATGCACTTAACTGATGAGTGGAGAAAAATTTAAAGACTGAGAAAACTTTCCATCTCTGAAAGTATATGCCAGAAGGGATTAAAAAATAGTTCAAGAATTTATTTGAAATAACACTAGGCATAAAACAGTGTGGAAATTAAAAAGAAAAGCACAACTCATTAGGATCATCATGTTTTTTTGATCTGATCATAAATGTTCAGTTTCCTAAAAATTTTTAAGGATGTCACTTATATTTATACTTCTTTTCTTTCTAGGGTCCTTCTGGTCACCAGGGTGCTGTTGGTAGTCCAGGACCTGCAGGCCCCAGAGTAAGTACTACAGACATACATTGGAAGGTCCACATTTTAAAATGTTTTCACTATAGGAAGTTATTCTAACTTTATGATATTGTGATAATTTCTTAGGGACCTGTTGGACCTCATGGACCTCCTGGAAAAGATGGAACCTCTGGACATCCAGGTCCCATTGGACCACCAGGGCCTCGAGGTAACAGAGGTGAAAGAGGATCTGAGGTAAGACATCACTTGAACATGTGTATACTTAATTTTCTGCAATCTTCACATTTTCAGAAATTCTGTACAATATTATCAAACTGATGTAGTGAGTTAAATACAAAGTAATAATTTGATTTAGAAAACCAGCAATAACTCCAAAACATTCTTGACTGCATTAAGACTTTTTCCTCCAAACTATAAGAACAAGGGGAAAAAAAAGGTTTTATAGTTTGATAACTGGTAACTTAAAATAATGTTATCTGCTCAATTAACCAAATGAACCAGGCAAGTTTCGATCTCATTCTCTAGAATTCACAACTGGGATAATCTTGGCAATTTGCATGTATGTAGTGAATTTACTTCTAAACTTTCACTGTTGTGATTCTTATATTGCTACTGATACCATCATTTCTAATACATTCCTGTCTCACACCTTTAAGGTAAATGAAATATAAACCATTATATCTACAAACTATGCAAGGAGCAATGAAAACACAAATAAGTGATCAACCCAAAGACTCCAGGCTAATGGAAAATTTGGGATCAGAACCTAGGTTTCCTTATTTTGTTCCCGCTATGATGACAGTGTTAGAGTTGTGTTTTCTGGGCTGTTTGCCTACATTCTTTATACAGACAAATGATAGAGTAAAATATATTCTTAAAAACTACTTACATTTACATAGTGGAACAATACATTTCTTGGTTGTGAATTATAGTTATTTAAGTTTATAATAATGTGACTATAAAAGCACCCAAGTGAACATTTGTTAAAGTAACTATGACACAACATATGAGTTGTTTTCAATGCATTTTCTTGGATGAGTGGTATAATCTTTCAGCGGCAACCAAACAATAACACTTCAGTGATTCATGTTTTTACCTATTCTAGGGCTCCCCAGGACACCCAGGACAACCAGGCCCTCCTGGACCCCCTGGTGCCCCTGGTCCTTGCTGTGGTGGTGGGGCTGCCGCCCTAGGTGGGGTTGGAGGTGAAAAATCTGGTGGTTTTGCACCTTATTATGGAGATGAACCAATGGATTTCAAAATCAACACTGAAGAAATTATGTCTTCGCTGAAATCTGTTAACGGACAAATAGAAAGCCTCATTAGTCCTGATGGTTCTCGTAAAAACCCTGCTAGGAACTGCAGAGACCTGAAATTCTGCCATCCTGAACTCAAGAGTGGTATGTTTGAGAGTCTTAAATACTCATGGCCACAGGACTAAAGACAAAGCTGCTTATTTTAGAATTTTTGTTTTTAATTTTTTATTGTTGGTTGTTCAAAACATTACAAATTTCTTTATATATCATATTTCACACTTTGATTCAAGTGGGTTATGAACTCCCATTTTTACCCCATATACAGATTGCAGAATTACATCAGTTACACATTCATTGATTTACATATTGCCATACTAGTGTCTGTTGTGTTCTGCTGCCTTTCCTATCCTCTACTATCCCCCCTCCCCTCCCCTCCCCTCCCCTCTTCTCTCTCTACCCCCTCTACTGTCATTCATTTCTCCCCCTTGTATTATTTTTCCTCACTGTGAATGGAAAATATTTTTAAGCCAAATTAGTAAATACTGTTAACTGAATTGAAAATGCTGTGACAAAATATTTAAAGTGTAACATAAATAACTTCAAGATATTTCAAATATAGAAAAACTTAAGAATAATTTTGTAGAAATTGTAATACAAATCATAGCTTAGTATATTTCTGAATATTATCAGAGTGATGTGAGTGATAAAGTGACATAATGTCATTGCATTCTCAGGATTAAATATGCATCATTTTAGTGTAATTTGGCTATTGCTGTGTGTATGTATTATAATTTAACTAATTGTAAAGTCTCATTATTAAAAATTTCAAATTTAGAAACAAATGAAAAAATGTTAAAGAATTACATAGAATATTGTTATAGTGGAAGGTTTTTCACACATTAAGTTAACTATTTCTTAAAAACAAAATTATTTCAAGCTTGTAAGTATCTAGATACAGAGTATTGCCTTGGTCTGAGTTACTTGTACAAATTGATTAAAATAGGTTTAGATAGATTGACATAATTCTGGATTAGACAGCCAGCTTATTTTGTTAAACAAATTCACATTAGATATTCACTCATTTTTTTTAAAAAAGAAGTGAATTTACCACATCATATACACCAATCAAAAGTTCTTGGCTTAGTATATCTCCATTATTCAAAACCAAGACATTATATTTATTTTGCCATTTTCTACAGTTAAAGCTAACTTTTTACCTTGGTAATTTCATTTTAAATATTCTCTATATACTATACATAAAATATAAAACCATTAGCAGTTGACACTATTATGTCTTATCAGTAAACAAAGACATTCTGGTTCAAGTCTCATTACTGGATTTTATTAACAATACCTATTGTACTTTTTTTTTTTTTGACTATTCAGGAGAATATTGGGTTGATCCTAACCAAGGTTGCAAGATGGATGCTATCAAAGTATTCTGTAACATGGAAACTGGGGAAACATGCATACAGGCTAGTCCTTTGACTGTTCCACGTAAGAACTGGTGGACAGATACTGGGGCTGAGAAGAAACATGTCTGGTTTGGAGAGTCAATGGATGGTGGTTTTCAGGTAAGAAAGGACATACCTTTTGAAGTAAGTCATCCCTACTTACCCAAGATATTCTGTTCCTCCTAACTGTGCATCACAAAGCTATGTTAATTAATACATAGAAGAGTCCAAAGGACTCTTGTATATTGAGGTGACTATGCTTTTATAACTTTCCTCTCAATAAGAGCTAAACTAGATTGAATTACTTTGCAGGCAAACATCTTTTTTTTCACTTCTTAAGAATATTTTACTCTGGCACACCATAAAAATATATTTATATTTATATATGAATAGCTTATATTGCAACATTCATACTATTACTACATGAAGCTCTTACATGAAGGTAAAACTATAATGTTTGATCATTTTTATTTATTCCCTATTACAGTTTAGCTATGGCAATCCTGAACTTCCTGAAGATGTGCTCGATGTTCAATTGGCATATCTCCGACTTCTCTCAAGCCGGGCCTCCCAGAACATCACATATCACTGCAAGAATAGCATTGCATACATGGATCAGGCCAGTGGGAATGTAAAGAAAGCCCTGAAGTTGATGGGGTCAAATGAAGGTGAATTCAAGGCTGAAGGAAGTAGCAAATTCACATACACAGTTCTGGAGGATGGTTGCACTGTAAGTAATGAGTTTTATCTACATAGTTCATATTGCAGTTAGCATTTCTTGATTAATCATTTTTTGAAATGAAAAAATAAAAACAACAGGGCAAACAAAAGATGACATTTGTTGTGAATTTGGCATAGCTTCTACCAATGCACTGCAGAGAATGTTACATAACACAAAAATAGATCTTAACTTCCAGGTGGAAAGCAGTTGAAGTTTAAACCTGTAATATAAATTTTACTAGATAATTGGGTTGTGATAATTTTTATGGTTCTATATGTTCTGCATAATAGTTATTATATGAATTCAATGCACAATCTCTTCTCTTATAAAACTTCAGGTTAACTTCAAATCTATCTTGTGTTATTTGCATTTATGAACAAAGGAAGATCTTGCTGATAATGTTAGCAAGTTCCACTGGGGGTGATCAGTCCACTTTTTAGTAAGCAAATATATGCCTGGTAACAATAACCAGAACCAGGCCTCTGGAGAACGGGGAGGACTGTGACAATCTTTCTACTGGGTCTACCCTCCAGTCCCATGAGACTTTTGACTAAGAGTATTGTTTAGCAACTAAAGGATTAAAATTTTAAATAAAGCAGGTCTCATATATATAAAAGATAACATGGCACACTTAAACTTCCTTAGTAAAGAAAAATATTTTTCAGTTTAGTCATAAGGAAATTTCTAAGTAATTGTAAAGTCATGATCACTTATACTTTTTTGATCTTTTTTACAGAAACACACTGGGGAATGGAGCAAAACAGTCTTTGAATATAGAACACGCAAGGCAGTGAGACTACCTATTATAGATATTGCACCCTATGATGTTGGTGGTCCTGATCAAGAATTTGGTGTGGACATTGGCCCTGTTTGCTTTCTATAAGCCAAACTCTATCTGAAACTCCAGCAAAAAAAATTCCACATTCCATATGTGTTCCTTTTGTTCTAACCTTGTCAACCAGTACAAGTGACCAACTAAATTCCAGTTATTTATTTCCAAAATTTTTGGAAAATGTGTAATTTGACAAAAAAAAGGATACTTTTTTTTTTTTTGCTGTTCTACAAATACAGTTCAAATGCTTTTTGTTTTATTTTTTTACCAATTCCAATTTCAAAATGTCTCAATGGTGCTATAATAAATAAACTTCAACACTCTTACAATAACACTGTGTTACATTCTTGAATCCTAGCCCATCTGTACAGCAATAATTGTGCTCACCAGTAAAAGATAATCTTTCTTTCTGAAATAGTCAGACATGAAATTAGAAATGACCTCCCTCTTTAACTACCTCAACTGGTCAGAAACAGATAAATTCTTTGAGTCCCAGAAGACTGAACAATTTGTGTAAGATGACCAAATGTATGAATCTCATTGATTAATTTCCTAGAACATTGGTTAAAAAAAAAAAAAAGGTAGTCCAAAAACTTAAGCAAACATTTTCTAAGCCACAGTTATCTTCATCTTGGCTATCAAATGCTATTCAAGGTGCTTCTCTCTTTACTTGTCATTGCTGGTGAAAATGAAAAACATTTGGGAGGCTTTAAAGACACATGTTATGGTGCTAATGAACTTTCACTTTCAGAACTCTGCTTTCAAACCATGAATGCACAATGTCTGTACCTGTCTCCCATCAGAAAGATTAATTGGCATGCCACAGGGAATCTGTCCCTTCATCCTGTAAAAATCAAACAAATTACGGGGCTGCTTTTGTCACAATAACACGGAGAATGTTTTGAAATTTTCCTTTGTAAGCTTGTATGTGGTTGTTGATCTTTTTTTCTTACAGACACCCATAATAAAATATCATAATGAAACACTCCTGGTTTTCGTCACTGTTCACAGGTCTAACGAATACATGTCTACACCCAAGAACTCTAATGATTTTCTTGAAAAATAGATTCAATTATAACTTTCAAGTTTAATTATACAACGATTTGAGAATATGAAATTATATAACATGTTCAGAATAGAGAGAATGCTCAGGAGGGAATCATGCAGATTTTTAGATCATATTTAGTGGAGTTCTTGGAGCATATTGAAAACTGAGAGCATTCTGTTTGAAAGGATTAGTCTCCAGGAATGGTAACATAGTAAATAGGGTGTCACTAAAGTGGGAATGATCAGGGAGGAAGACTGATCCAGCAAAACACTTTACTATTCAGAATAATGGAAAAATATCACATAATTTCACCCATATTTAGAATCTAAAAAAGTTGAACTCATTAAAGAGAAGTAATGTATCAGTTAGTAGGGGCTGTAGGTGAGACAAGTTTGGAAAGATATTCGTTGAAGGAGAGAAAATTAGAGTCAGATTACAGGAATAAACTTGAGAGATCTTTTGTACAACATGAAAACTATAGTTAACAACAATGCACTGTATTCCTGAAAATTGCTAAGAGAGTAGATCTTAAGTGTTCTCACCAAAAAGAAAAAAGTAGATAAGGTATGATTATGCTAATTAGCTTGATTTAGCCATTCCACAATGTATACCTGTTTCAAAACATCATGTTGTATATGATAAATACACACAAATTTTATTGCCCATTAAAAATTAAACTAATACTTTTCTAAAAATATTTAAAATAATTTCAAGATGAAGCATTTTCTACCATCTCTATATGCTGTCACTTTGACCTTGTGGGTCAGCCCCCTCCACCATCAAGTTTTTATCCTTATAGTCACCATGAATAAAATTAGTATGATCTTGAATACTTTATAATTTGAGATTTAATCACTCTATATCACTAAGAAAAACAATAATACTTTCAAAATTGAAAATTTATCAAATATCAGGGCTCATTGTCTACTTCTCCTCCAACTTAGAAGCAACCAATGTTTACAGTTTCTGATGCATCTTTTGAGAAATGTTTTATTGAATTTAATTTTCTTCATTCAATAATATATCACAATATTATATATTATTTACATATAAGTTTTTAATGCATATAAATGTTTAAATATATACACAAAGAGGCAGTGCACACAAGCCAGTTGTATGGCTTAGCAAATTATATGTCTTAGCATTTTATTTTAAACAAAGAGAATCATATGATATACAGCGTTCCTTTCCCATATTTGTAACTACTATATCATAGACAGTAGTTTATTTTACTAATATAGCTTTAACACATTATGTGTAATTGATACATAATATTCAGATAAAGGAAGACTTAAAATTATTATTCTTTCGCTTATTCATTTATTCAGTACCTACCCAAGCATTTAAAGCCCTATCTTACTGCAAGAAATTTGCAACCAATGTTTTATTTGAGGTTAGAAGCAATTTGCTTTTCCAGTCTTTAATTGAATTTAGGATTTAGGCATGTGATCTGAGCTTGGTAAATCTGACAGACACACCCAAAAGTTTGAATCTGGAGATATTTGTATTAGTTTCTTATCACTGCTGTAGCATATTGCCACAAAGTTGGTGACTTTCTACTCCATATAATTTTTTTCACATTTCTGGAGTCTAAATATTTTACTTTGCAAAAATCTAAACTAGGTCTTGTCTAAAACAGAAGTGTCCAGCAAGGCTATGTACCTTTTGAGAGACTCTAGGGAGAAACTATGTCTTTTCCTCTCCCAGATCCCATGGTTTGTGATCCACTTTCATGTTCAAAGCTAGCAATATTTGGCCAAGTCTTGCCCACATCACATCATTCTGATATTGACTCTTGTGCCTTCCTCTCACATATAAGAACTTTTATGATAATGTGGAGCCCAATTAGATAAACCAGGATAATTGTCACATTTCAGGGTCACCTTATGGCAGCCTTGATTCTAACCAGCAACTTTAATTCCTTCCTGGCTCATGCAATGAAAAACAGTCACAGGTTCTAGGAATTCATAGATGAATTTACTTAGGGAGACACCATTCCATCTACCATTGTAGTAACACAAAAAGTATGAAGAATAGCAAAGACATTTTGGTGGTTGTCACAGCTGTAATTGAGGCAGTAAAAGTCAGATTTCAAACATAGTTTGAGCAATAGTGCCAGAAATGACATCCACTATCCAGTGTTTATTCCAGAAATACCAGGTGCTTCTGGAGTATTATTTTGAAGTTTCCCTTGAAAACAAGCATTCACTTCATTTCTGTTGATTTTATAATTTTGGATTCTATACCTTTGTTTGAATTGCCCTGAATAAAATGCATTATTGCATTTCAATACAAGTCAGTTAAAGTTGGTTTAGGATGTTTATAGCTAAGAATCAAGACGAGGTCAGCAATTGGTAACTGCAGAGATAGCAGACAGTAGAAATGCAAGAAAATGAAAATATTTCAGGATCGACTATTTGTATTTGTTGGGGTAAAAGTAGAAAAATTTAGCTCATATCCAGGAGAGGGAATTTTGAAGTCCATAGAAAGAGGGCTAATCCTCTATGATCACACAAAGTGTTTTGCACTTTAAAGTCAAGTCTCAAGGAGACAAGGGTCTCCACTACACAATGGTACATTTGATTTTATGAGAAACTGCAGGACTGCATATGAGTATGGCTGTTTTTACTCAGTAATATAAAGACAGAAAATGACAAGTTCAAATCCTTAACTTCTTGGCTTAAGGCACAAAAGGAAATCTGCCCTTTCTCTGTGCTTAAATAGAAACATAAATATTGTTTAAAAGTTTCATCTCTTTGCCCAAGAGTTGCACTAATAAAAAGAAGGCCAAATGTAAATCTTTACTCTGCAGATCACCAGACTTCAACGTAAATGTAAATTTTCTAATTCTCTAGTTGATGATTGTTCCATGTCTGGGAAGTGGCAGGACCCTTGATGTTTGAATAAGGCTTATGGAAGAATTGTTTTGAAACATTTCTGTTTCACATTAAGTATCTTTAACTACAAGACCCCTATAAAATAGGACCTCTATTCCTTGCCTGGTAATATTTCTGCTATTTTTAAAATGCAAGATGTTCATAAGAAAGGATTAATTCTCTTCATGTCTCATTCCCAGCACTGCTTATTGTCTCAAGATTTACAACTAGAGTCAGATTCCAGAATGAACTTTGAATTCCAAAAAGCCAATCTCAGGAGGAGATTTTTATAAGTAAAAAAAAAAAAGGTGGATGAATACTTTAGGCTTTGAAGAGGGAATGTAGGTAGAATACCATACTATCTACTATATGTTATTCCATGTTCAGTACTCTGCCAAACACTAGAGAAAAATATGCCACATAGTCACTTTCCTTTACAAATGTGTTGTCTAGAATAGGTAAGTTGAACCCATATGAAATGGCACAAAAGTATTCACAGTATACAATTAAGTGCTTCATTGTGCTGGGCTAACCATAAGAGATAAAGATGGTGGAACAGAAAAGGGATTATTGCTCAGTAATAATTATATTGTTTGGACAGTTATTTAAGAAGATAAAACTTATGATAAAATAGGAGTATTATTTAGTTAAATGGTAGGAAAAGGAAGGCCATTTCAGAATAAGACACACACACAAAAAAATGAGGGGAATTAGAAGCAGCCATGATTTCTATGTCCATGGGACAGTGAAGAATTCAGGTTACCCAAATTCATTCAATTCAGCAACGTTATTGAGTAATTACTAAGGGCAAGGTTTATAAAAAATACACAAGAAGATTAAAGGAGAATGTGAAAGTATGAAATACAGCAAAATATGATGACATATACACTGTATGTCACAAGATTCAATATGTGTTATATTAGAAAGATGGAATGGTTTATAAAGGCACAAGGAAGAAACAATCACATCTACTTGGAGGCCCTCAAGAAAAACCCATGCAGTAGATGGTGCTTAAGCCAGACTTTAAGTGATAGAATGCTTTTGTTTAGGGAGGGAAACAAAATACCCCAGAAAATACTCTAAGGAAAGGGGTACAGAGTTGAGAGTTATATTTGGCAATAATCCCAGTTTCAGAGGAAGTATAGGTTTCGTGGGATGGTATCATGAGTGATAAGGCCAGAAATAGAGTATAGACCAGAGAGCCTAAAATGGCAAAGTGATTAAATTTTATTCCATCTGCTTCTCAATGTAGAGTCATGTAAAGATTTTGAATACCAACCAGAAGGCTGTTTGTTGTTTAAGGTGAGCACAAAGTCAAGGAAAATATCGGAGCCATGATCAGATTTACAGGCAATGAAGAGATACTGTCTATGTTTTCTGTTGCTAATAATACAGACTGCGTAGGTTATAAAGAACAGAGGTTTCTTTTCACTCACAGTTCTGATTCAAGGTCAAGGGGATGCATCTGATGGATGCAAAAACACAATGTGACACTGTGTTTTTGACACTGTTAGTGTCACATTGTGTTAGACAAGAACAAGACAGAAACTTAGCCAAACTGGCTTATATAGCAGATCCACTCTCAAAAAACAAAACAACAACAACAACAACAAAAAAACACATTAATCTATTAATCACATGGATAGGGGGATAGGGGTAGGTCTTAGACCTTTCCCCTCTTAAAGATCCCACCTGGTCCCACTTCTTAACATCTCCTAATAGGGATTTAACATGAGTTTTGAAGAAGACAAAGCATATTCAAAACATAGCAGATAGTGACTATGGAAGAAAGAAGCATGAATCTACATTTTGGAGAAGATGAAACTAAAGAACCTTAATCTTAACAAGTAGTAAATGTTAAAATGTAGTAAAGAACATCTTCTTTAAGGACTCGACTGAAGAGTCACACTGTAGAAAGATGTGCTGGGAAATTAGGTTAAAAAGGGAAAATGGGGACAGCTGAAGAAGGACTTCAAAAGTCATACAAGAGATGTTTCCTTTTAATAAGAACTAAGTGGACAAGTTACACAACTCCAGTATTTCTCACAG